TCCATCTGCTGCTGCTGCTGCTGCTGCTGCTACTGCGCTTGAGCTGTGGCCAGAGCCACGCTCCGCTATCAAAGTGCAACATCGCCACCTCGTGTTTACCTGTAAAACTGCATCTGTCCCGCCTTACAGATGAAACAAACAAACAAAAAACTTTAAACCTAAAGAAATTAATTGTCCTTTTGACTTCATTAAAAGCAACTAAACAATTCTGGTGATCATTATAATTTCGAAGTTTATAATTTTTAGTCCTGTTAAGTAAATTCTGGAGTCATAACTATATACTACAAAAAATAATATAGAAAATGTGCCACTTTGTATTAACAAAGCAAATAGGCTAACTATGTAGAGGGGGAATATAGAGGATAGATATGACATCAACTATTTTTTATTTATTTATTTAAGTACATACAGTACCATTCACAAAAATTGTGATGTTTTCAAAAGACGTTTTTTAATGCTCACTAAGGCTACCTTTATTTAATCAAAATACAGTGGAAAAACTGTGAATATTGTAAAACATTAAAAATGAAAACAAGCATTTTCTATTTGAATATATTTTAAAATGTAATTTATTCCTGTGATGCAAAGCTAAATTTTCAACAGTCATTATTTCAGGCATCAGTATAACATAATTCTTCAGAAATCATTCAATATCATAATATAATTTTTTTTTTTTAAATCTCACTTATTATCAATGTTAAGAACAGTTGTGCTGCTTCATATTTTTTGTGAAAACCGTGATACTTTTTTTTAGGATTCTTTAATGAATAGAAAGCTTAAATCATCAACATAAACAATTATTTGTAATAGTAATCATTTGTAACAACGTTATAAAAAAGTGTTTACTGTCACTTTCGATTAATTTTATGCACCATTGCTGAATAAAAGAAAATCTTACTGACCACAAACCTTTGAACGGTATGAAGTATTGTCGCATGCAATTTTTAACTGTCACTTTAAATGATCACAGATCACTATTTGTACTTTGTCATTGTATAATCTATGATATATTAATTCAACCTATGACATTATTTCCTAGGGGGCGATGGCTGCCACATACTCAGCTTTGAATCGATCACCTCAGGCCCCAAAACTGGAGCCAGTGCTTTCTTCCTGTCTGGCTCAGAGAAGAGGCATGAAAAGACTCACATCCACTCGTCTATAGCACTCCAGCCAGACACAAGAGCTTCTACAGCTTTAAGAAATGTCAGAGTGCACCGGCTTCGGACAAGGCACCAGACGACCGCCAAAGCATCCGGAGCAGAGTGGAAAAATTGGATTGACCTCAGAGTGTCAGAGCAATCTCCAAAGAGCGACAAATGATCTGCCAAGTGTCTCTGCTGATGTCAAGAGATTGATGAGGGCCAGATGCAAACATCACAGCTGTCGGGGCTCAAAAACAGATCTTTCAGAGCGTGACGCTGCTTTTCTGTGTGTGTGTGTGTGTGTGTGTGTGTGTGTGTGTGTGTGTTCCACCCCTGTGGACTTCAGGAGTGTAGCATCATGAAGTGTGTAGTTTTAACGGTGCATAACAAAGATCACAGTTATCATTCCCAAACTGTGTGCAGGCGGACAGAAACCCAGTCGTTCATTACAGTTGCTACTACTTGCTGCAGACACTTCAATTAAAGCCATGTAGAAGATGCTTTGGTCTATCATGGTGACAGTGCTGCACCTTTAGCTACAGTATGTGCCAGCATTATTAGCATCTTTTGAACATGCATGCCATGTACAGGATGTATTTTTATGACAAACAAATGGTTCTAACATGCTAATGAAAGCACAAGGAACATCATTCATGTTGTTTTTGTAGCCTTCTGTAATGTCCCAGTTTTACTTTTTTAGTTTATCTTTTTGGTGATTTTATTGGTCTTATATAATGCTGAGACTACTGAAAACAGCTGTTTTTAATTGTAATGTTTCTATTATTTATTTTTATTTTTTTTCATATTGCGTATTTGCACCACACTGGTTTTATTTATTTATTTATTTATTTATTTATTATAAATATTTTTGTTAATATGCATGTTTATTTATGTTTCTGTTTAATTGTTTAAATATGAATGTTTATTGAAGATATCCGCTACCTTTTTTATCTATTTATTTTTAAGTGACCTTTATGCATAAACATGAAACCTATAAACAAGTGCCACACTTTTACACTAGATTGATTGAATGATGATAAAGAAAAAAACATTTCGAATATAAACATGTGCATGCATTTTCACTTTCATGGAAATGTAAAAAAAAATAAAAAATTTGTAAATACAGTTTGAACTAGACTACCAAAATCTATTGTAAAGTCTTTAGATCAACAATCTTGAAAAGACATGATTTATGTACTGAGGTCATTGCTATTACACCAATAGTTATCCATCATAATCTTCTATTAATTTATGTTAAAGTTTACCAATGTTATTGTTAAATGTCACAACTTGCCTATATGCATTAGCTCATGACAGTGTATTAGGAAATCTGTTTTCCACACATAGCACTCTCTGCTCTGTGAAACTTACTTAAGGATATTCAATCTATTGTAAAGTCTTTAGATCGACAATCTTGAAAAGACATGATTTATGTACTGAGGTCATTGCTATTACACCAATAGTTATCCATCATAATCTTCTATTCATTTATGTTAAAGTTTACCAATGTTATTGTTAAATGTCACAACTTGCCTATATGCATTAGCTCATGACAGTGTATTAGGAAATCTGTTTTCCACACATAGCACTCTCTGCTCTGTGAAACTTACTTAAGGATATTCAGAAATTAGGTTTGTATGCCATACACAATTTGTAGCAGCCTCTGAAAGATTAATGATAGCAGTACAGATGAAAATAACCTTAATTTTGTATGATAAAGTGACAGTCCAGTATTTTTGTATGAATATGATCAACACCTTTTCCAAAATGAAGCTCTGATAATGCAGAGAAACACATTCTGGGCTGTTTCAGCTTCAGCCAAACTTTATCTTTTGCTGGTGTGGCTTATTTTTTACATGTGAAAAGCTTTAAATTTTAGTTGTTGTTGATGCTGATTGTTTTTCCCCCCTTCTGTTTTAACAATACCCCAAAGCAGGTATATGTCAGCGCACCAGTGCTTCTACTAGCTTGCGTTAATGCTGTACATCAGGTGTAGAGACAGTGACTACCCTACCTAACAGCAATAGCATTAGGATCTGTCCTTGCTAGAAAAGAAATTATACTTTTATGCCTTGTGTTGGCTTGTATACCAACAATTTATAAATAAACAACATAAAAATGTGATCAAACTGGTCTCAGTGTTATTATGTGTGGTAATGAATTGTGGACCGTGTCAGTTCTTGGAATTGATAGGGTGAAATAAATAAGTACATTCACATATTCATAACAGTGTCCTGGAAAGGACGTTTTCAAGTGGATTTATATTTCATTCCTAAATGTGACCCTGGACCACAAAACCATTTATATTTGTACACTCTAAAAAATGCTGGGTTAAATACAACCCAGTGCTGGGTAAAATAGGGACAAACCCAGCAATTGGGTTGTTTTGACCGAGCGGTTGGGTTACTAAGGGTTGGTCAAAACAGCCCAATTGCTGGGTTTGTCCCTATTTTACCCAGCATTTTTTAGAGTGTAGCAATAGCCAAAAATACATTGTATGGGTCAAAATGATCGATTTTTCTTTTATGCCAAAACTCACAAGGATATTAAGTAAAGATCATGTTCCATGAAGATATTTTGTAAATATATTAAAACTTAATTTTTGAATCGTAATATGCATTGATATACTCTAAAAAAATGATGGGTTAAATATAACCCAGCGCTGGGTTAAAAGGGGACAAACCCAGCTATTGGGTTGTTTTGACCCAGCGGTTGGGTTACTACCCAGAAGGATGGGTTAAACATTTAACCTCAAAACAACCCAATAGCTGGGTTTGTCCCTTTTTAACCCAGCATTTTTTAGAGTGTAAGGACTTCATTTGGACAGCTTTAAAGTTAATTCTTCAGTATTTAGTTTTTTTGTTTTGTTTTTTTTTGCACCTTCAAATTCCAGATATTCATATATATCTCAGCCAAATATTGTCCTATCCCAAGCATACATCAATGGAAAGCTTATTTATTCAGTTTTCAGTTGATGTATAAATCTCAGTTTCGAAAAATTGACCCTTATGTCTGGTTTTGTGGTACAGGGTCACAAATACTCCTTTGCAAAAATAGGGACTTGGGATGTCCTAGCTTTTTAAAGTGAAAGAACAAAACGACTGCGACACCATACTGTCTCCATCCTGACTACATTAATGATGACAGGTATCTAAACAAACTGTACAAAAAATAGAATTAAATTGAGTAATTGTTGATCTCTCATTTTTAACAATTTATATGTTAAGAATATGCATTTCTCATATAAAGAATAATATTAGAACAATCAAGAGGGTCTGGCTGCAGACATGCACTTGCACTCAGACACTTGCGCTTCCTGAGAATGAGAGTGCAAGTGCATCCCTGCGTCCCAATGTGCATACTATCCACCCTATCTGCCCTAAATAGTATTGAAAATGACTAATATCACATAGAATTTAGCATGGATAGCGTGCACATTGGGACGCAGGCTATGTCTGCAGCCAGACCCTTCATAATCTTTGTGCGTCAGAATTTGACCGTTATTTTAAAAACAGTATCACATCACACCTACATTTTCGCAATGCCCGCCTCCTACGTCAGGATTGGCTATCGAGTTTTAAAAGCTGTGTACGATTGGTCAGTTTAGGGGTCACTCATGTTAGTACGCCCAACCATTGCGTTCAGCGGTAAGATGAAGGGCGGGGCTTATCGGAACACGGGTGGGGAAAAGTAACGTCTGATTTGTGTGTCCATGCTGAACTTCGAGGAAGTGTTGAATAATTTCAACTGAGCACTGTTTCACCTGACGAGCAACGATGGACAAGTTGCGTCGTGTATTAAGTGGAGGAGAGGAGAATGAAGAAGTGGGACTTACAGCACAGGTATAAGGAGAACCTGTGTTTATTTGCAGTGTGTCTTCGTCTGTAATTGATAGGCCCTGTAGAGTTTATGAAGTACTGTAAATTCACAGTGGTGGTATTTTAACTTACTTTTATTTTTTACAAAAGTGCTATGATACAGTAGAGTTAGCAGATGTTAATGCCATGGTAATGGAAGAATACCATATTTATACAGCGTGGTACTCCAGTGTCCTTCAAAGAATACTATGCTAGTATGTTATTACCATCATGACAGTGTTAATGTTAAATAATAATAACAACAACAACATGCTAGTGCCATATCACAAACCATAGTATTACCATGGTACTTTTTAGTCAGTGTAGTGTTGCTCTATTTTGAACTGTACTGATATTAGATCTAGTCTGTCTTCTGTTTGTTTGCAAATAATTATGTGATAATGATATTTGTTAACATTGCTGATTTTACATGCTTCCTGAGGGGAAGGATCACGTGAGGTAAGGTCATGACCTCCGGATGTTGTTTAGTTTCTGCAAGCCAATCTGAAAAGTCTGAAACTGGGCTTGAAACACTGTTGCAGACCTTACTTGTTTTTCCATTTAAAATAACATTAAATGTTTTACATACAGTAGGATTAATGTTATGAGGCATCACATTTTATTTTGATCCTTTTAAGATTCATCATACTTTAAAATCATACCTTGAGCTCTACAGTGCTGCTGTGATGTGTGTGTGTGTTTTTTTTAGTTATATACACATTTATTCCTCTCTAAAGTACCGACCATTCTGTTAATCTTAACAGTTTATGATGTGATGCATGCATGGTCGTCATGTGACGTTTTATAGAGAAAAGCAAGAACAATAGTGCATTTTCCTCCTGTCTTGTTCTTCCTGTGGGTCTGTGCATATACTGTATAAATCAGAGGCATTTTAATGAATCAGAAGCAGTCATAAGCAAGCTAAAAGCATGAACTCTTGGTCTTTGTTCGTGGGGCATTATGAACCATGTGACATCCTGTGATTCTTCTCTGTAGATCATGGACGGCACAACACTCAGTTTCGGCACACGGGTGAAGTGGTTTGTCATTTGTTTCGCTGGAGGAGTCCTGTGTTCAATACTTGTGAGTTAACTTTCCTCATTATTTCCCCATTAAGGTTTTATCTGTCCAACAATTTGCAGCCACACTAGCCTAGTTGATTTCTAAGACTCTTAGTCATTTGTTGTTACGTTACTCTTTAAGGAATAGTTAACCCCAGAGCTGTAACTACCATAGACATTGAGAGAGACAAGTACCCCTCAGTTATAAGAAATGACCAAAATGTTTCCTCCAATTTGATGTTTGACAATAATTGACAAAAGTTACATTGTGTTACACAGCGCAACACATGTGAAACCATGATCACAAATGGGTGAATTGGGTGCCTAATGACGCCGCCCTGTTCTTCTTCACCCTGCCAATTGCTTTCAGTTGGTGTGACAACACATTACTGATAACACTTACAACAGCAACCATAAACTACAAATGCAGACTGCTGTACATCATACCAGGGAGGATATTTTTTTTTTTTAACTATAACATCTGTGTGAATCAGAAATCCACTAAAAATCACATTGACACCAGTTTCTGGACTGGCCACTGCATGCAAACATGGTTAAACAAGTTAGTTGTAATAAAAGCTCTAGCTTCATTTAGCATACCACTTTATGAATGTGATATTTTTGTTATCGCATGCAACAACATTCATACAGTTTAAAATGTGATTACATTCCAAACACTATTTGGGGCCACTGTACAGTATATTTTATGCGCAGCGCAAAAGCTTTGTAACACCACTAGGTGGCAGGACTGCTTAATTTGTTCATGTACAAACTTTGAATTTGATAGTGGATTAATCAAAATGGTTTTCTTTTAGCACAGACAGGTTGTTTCAGAGAAATGTTTGAAAATGGACTAACAAGCCTTATTACGTCTTCTGAAACAGGGAACTGCACTCCTCTTCTTGCCCAAAGCTGGTGTTAATTTGTTTGCTGTATTCTACACCCTTGGAAATATTGCAGCGATTTCAAGGTAAGTGTAATTATGGCTGGGTTGTGGGCATGCATGCAATGGCACAGTCTCTTAAATGTTGATTCAGTGTCATTATTCTGTATGTGGGATTAGATTTACTGTATATTAAGTGCTTTATAGTTTTGACACTTTCTACAGATATGAAACAGGTAAGAGGCACAAATCCCACATTTTTATTGTGAATATTATTAGGTATGCTACATAAAATGTTATCAAACATAAAATCAATAATTAGTCATAAGAACATTTTGCAGATGGAAAATATTAGTGTTGTCGCCTGGACGGCATGCAGGCTTAACCATTCGACCCACCTACCAAAATTATTGATTTAATATACATTTATCAGTGACTACAACATTTAGTCTCAAACTGGTCAACCCCTATTGATTATTTAATTTTTGCTAAATCTAGAAACCTGTTATCCTTATTTTTCCTGCATACATACAGTAAAACATTTTTGCAATGAAAAAAAACAACAACAACAGTCAGCTGACATTTGCTACATAATATATATATATATATATATATATACAGCTACATAATATATATATATATA